CCTGCCTATGTTCTTGCTATTATTCGGTTTGGTTTGGTCCCAGTTGAAAAATAGCTGCCAGCGTTGTTGTCAACCCTACAAGAGCAATTATCAGATAGACTAATCTGCTTAGTTGTGATAACAGAATCCATTCTACTTACTTGAAGAAGAAAGGGTTTTATTAGGAGATTTGGGTGGCTCACAGAATCCTGAGAGGCCGAGGAAACAGACTTCAGGCTCAGTTCCAGGAACGACTCCCAGAATCACACTTCCAAGGGGCCCACCCAGGAAGCGGATGCTCCTGCCAAAATAAGGAAGTAGCTGCTGTTAACAGCTCTGCCACAGCCCGCTTGCAGAAATGGAGGCATCACACCCATTGGTTTTCTCTGCATGATTCACTTCCAAACCAGAGTCCTCCTCTGATGCTTCCGATTTCTCGAAACCATATTAAATGTTTGTTCCCAGCAGGGAGAGGTTGTGCCTGGGAGATTAGGATCTACCCGTAGGGAACTATACACGTGTAGACACGGTGTGCTCCAAAGTTTGGGGGTCGCTGATGCCCTGTACTAGGTAAGACATTACAATGATTAAGGTTTTGCATCCCGAAACACCCCTAAGATGCATTTTGCTTTTTGTGGAGTATCCTGAAATGGAACAGCAAAATCCCTAGGTGTTCCTCTAAGCATCAAAGCGGCTTCAAAATCAAAGCTTGCACATTTTTTAGTTGCATCGGGACTATGAGTAACCAGAGCGCCTTCAAGATGCTGCTGCTGTCCTTACTCAGACCCACGGGTAAGATCTCAGGTATGGACACCAGTGAAGCCAGAATCTTCAACATTTTTTAGTTGCATCGGGGGTGGGGCCACAACATTAGTAACAAAGAAACAGAATTTTCGGAGGATGAGGCCCAGAAATCAGGATTTTAAAAAGATTCCCAGGTGATTCTAATGTGCAGCCAAAGTTGAGAACCACTGGTTTAGACAAAGCTACCTGACATCTGGGATGGATGCCAATGAAAAAAATAGACAAAGTTCAGCCAAATGTGATAATTACATAAAGCAGCATGGGTTTCCTTTAAACAGACAGGGAGGTGGCTTGAAATTAATACTGGGCTTAGCTCATTGCCTCTCATGTGAATTATCTAGTACAAATTCAATGCATGTGCAGAGCTTCCGGGAGCCCATTATCACTTGCTATTGAGATCCCTGCATGTGCCCGTGAGGAAAACTTCCCAAGTCATCTCATGAAACCCAATCTGCTCAAACTTCATTCTTGTGAAAGGTTTTTCTCTCCGTATTGCATCACCTGGCCAAGACTTTGAAGTAGCCAAAAATCTTTATTCTCAGTCATCTTGGTCTCCCTGACTCAGAGCATAACTAGGCCCTTTGCTCCACCTAGGGGACCAGGAACTTTAAGCATCTACCTTATCCTTCATCCCCAATCTATTACCTGATTTCATTCATGTCAAGGAAAAGGCAAACTGGTAGCTTAAGGTTCAATATCCTATCAGGAGGTAACTGTTAGGGTCACCGAAGGAGGAATACACAGGCCGAAAGGGGTGAAGAATTATGAATTTATTAAGTCATCTGGAAAAGCAGATGGGCTGAGCCCCAAAGTGGTGCCAGCAACGAGGGACAGGGAGACAGAGATTTTAAAGGACTCTAGGCGGGTTTTTTCTGGGTGGAGAATTCTCTGGGCGGAAAGATAATGGTCTTAGCAAGAGGAATGTGGTCTAAGCCATTGGTCAGCAAACTCATTAGTCAACAGAGCCAAATATCAACAGTACAACAATGGAAATTTCTTTTGAGAGCCAAGTTTTTAAACTATATAGGTAGGTACATTGTTATTAACTTAATTAGGGTACTCCTAAGCTGGCCTTCGCTAAAAACGTCCTCAATCTGAGGGGTCAACCTCAGCGAACGTACCCCCACTTCTTCTAACGCCACTTCTTCAAAATAGACTCGCCCAGGCTTAAAACCAACTTCTGCGCATAGGCCACGAAGTTTCAATCGCACTGTATGTGCGCGCCCGCACATGGTATTTTGTGAAAGAGCCACACTCAAGGGGCCAAAGAGCCGCATGTGGCTTGCGAGCCACGGTTTGCCGACCACTGGTCTAAGCAAAAGGGAACATTGGTTGTGAAATGATCTAAAGCAGTGGTTCTCAACCTTCCTAATGCCACTACCCTTCAATACAGTTCCTCATGTTGTGGTGACCCCCAACCATAAAATTATTTTCGTTGCTACTTCATAACTGTAATTTTGCTACTGTTATGAATCGTAATGTAAATATCTGATATGCAGGATGTATTCTCATTGTTACAAACTGAACATAATTAAAGCATAGTGATTAATCACAAAAACAATATGTAATTATATATGTGTTTTCCGATGGTCTTAGGCAACCCCTGTGAAAGGGTCGTTCGACCCCCAAAGGGGTCGTGACCCACAGGTTGAGAACCGCTGATCTAAAGGTTAGTTCCATGGGGAAGGGGGATCCATTCAATTATTTGATCAGACCTAACAGTAACTGGGCTAAGTCTTACATTTAAAAGAAGAGAAAAAAGACACTAATGGCAATCAAGGGTATTTCCCAATTAATAGAAGGATTTTAATATAGGTTTAGGAGAAAGATGGATAAACATCAAAGGAATCCATCTCTCCATTTAAAGGTGAAGCTCAATGATCTGTAAAGGAACACATGTAATGCAACTGTCTTTTCAAAAAGCCTTAAACCACATCTTTTTCAAATAAAATAATTCATAAAGGAATAAATTGGTATACCCTATTTCCACCCCCATTGCCATTAACTCAATTCCACCCATTATCACGTAGCTCTTAGTAAGGCAAAAAGCCTCCTGGGATTCCAAGTTTCCAAGCCCTCCATAGCACCTCCAGAGTCGTCTTCCAAAAATAAGTACTATGTTTGTTCACTTCTCAAACTTCTTCAAAAATTACTAGTTGCCCAAACAATAAAGCCTAGATTTCTCATGGTGGCACAGAAAACCCTTTGATTAATATCAGCACAGCCTCTTTGGCTCCTATTCAGTCACAGGTTCCAAAGATTGTTCACTCCAAAGTCTCAATCCTGCTCAGGTTTGGAAATGATCCTGCATGAGCCAGTCCTATCTTTTGGGAGGATCCGGCCCTTGGGGTCTGGAACTAGCCTTGTTGCCCTAAGATTGGCAACTGGTATATGTTGGTTTAACCCTCCCCATGTTATAAGCCCACCAAGAATCAGCCTTGTCAATGACCTCCCAATATTTGTCTTCTACTTATTACTGTATCTAGGCTTTAATTTCCTATTTTACACTACACATCTACCACCAGGACTCCAGCCTTGTCCAGAAGCTCATCCTATTTGTATAGGCCTATAAAACCCTACAAACCCAAGGCAGATGCTATATGACCAGAACCTCAGTGACGGCTGGAGATCAAACCCATCTTAATCATCACCTTACGAGAAACTTGGTTATCACCATCTTGAGACTCCGGTGCTAGCCAATAGGTCCAATTCTTTAGCATGTCAATGCTAACCCAGATGGCACCAAATTATCTTTTTTTTAAAAAAAAAAATTCTTGATTGGTTAAGGTATTACAAATGTGTCCTTGTCCCCCCATTAACCCCCAACCTCCCTCCCCCCACTCATGCTCTCATCCCCGTTGTCCGTGTCCATTGGTTTGGCTTATATGCATGACTACAGGTCCTTTGGTTGATCTCTTCCCCTTACCCCCACCCTCCCCTACTTTCCCTCTGGGGATTGATAGTCTGATCACTGTTTCTCTGTCTTTGGATCTGTCCCTGTTCATCAGTCTATGTTGTTCTCTCCAAATGATCTTCTGAAGCCAAAAGTATGGTGAATTTTCTCAATCCTAGCCCTACCTGGCTCCTTAGTTTATACCTAAGAGGTCCCAACATGCTTTCTGCGTACTCCACATAAATGATGGCTCTACAGTCTAGCCACTGATCCTTGAATACAACATGATGGTCTTTTACATCAACTCTGGTCCAAGTGGTTTGCTCTGCCTAGGCTTTTCTTACCTTTGTCCCATCATCTGACTCCTACCAGTCTTTCACATGCCACTCCTACGAAGTCTTCATTAAAACCCTCAAGTTTGCTCCCACTTGGCACATGCCTTGATTATCGAACTTCTCAGATAACATTGTAATTTTCTTTTTTTGTTCTCACATGTGTTTACCCCCAAAAAGATTGATACCTCCTTAAGGACCAGCTTAGTCCTTAACAGCTCCTTCCTCACTCACAGCTGAGACCATATGTGCCCTGTAAAAATGTCCCTGGGACGACTCCAACTTTTCCTGGAGCATGCCCAGGGTCCGCTCCCACTCTCTTGTCCAAATCCCTTGTTCTAGGCTAGTACTCACTCGCCTCCTAGCCAAATGCCTTGTTCCTGGATAAACGGGTGGGTTCTGTCCTTCTGGCCTTGCCTCTTGAGGCTGAGCCTTTAAACTTTCTCCCTGGCTTTGGATTTCCATTCCATCCTTGGATCTCCTTGAGCAAGTTGCTCTTCTACCCACTGGCCAGAAACACTCCAGCCTGCGTCCAGCCCAGCCTCTAGGGACTCTCACTTAGGTCCTGCTTGTCCAGGCAGAAAGTTGGAACAAAACAAATAAACATCTTTGCGGTTGGTGAAGCTTTTCCTAATGAAAGAGAACAAAGGCTTCCTCTTCAGAAGGAGTATTGATTTATGTCTTGAAAAGCAGAGCAGATATCTGCAAACCATGATTTCAAGCCAAGCCAAGGGCTAGAGGCTCCACTGATGAAACGCAAGGGACATCAGGTGAAAATGAAGACCATTTCAGATACTAATTTATTCAGTGAAAAAGATGACCACAATATGAACAGTCATGGAAATACTTCATCATTTCATCCCTCATACTTCCTACCCTGCATACTGACTTTTCTAAATTCCTTGAACATGTCATGGTTTTCTCATGCTGTTGAGTCTATTAAAAACCCTCCATCAAACAGTCTTGCCTCTACCATTTTTCCACTGCTCGTATCATTTTCATCTTTCAGGTTTCAGGTAAATACCCTCTCCTCATAGAGTCCTTTTCGACTACCTTATTGCACACAGTACTCCTCTCATTAAATACATTCCTTGTTCATTTGTTTGCAACTCCCAGTAGACTCAGGATGGGGGTGGTGAGTCTAGATACCAGCGCACCTAGCACAGGTTATGGCATTTGGCTCATGTTCAATAGGTATTTGTTGGGTGAATGAATGGACAGCAGTCATTGCTATCTCATATCGAATGGGGCTGATCACAGGAGGAATAACAC